AGTGCCCTAAATGGTCCCCGCATGTCCCCTGGTAGCTTTAGGCCGCCAAGGCCTGTCCCCCACACTCCCGGGGACCCCGCAAGTCAAGATGATGGCATTCCAATAATGCCCATCAACAATGCCTGAACAGGACCATGCTAGTTCTTGTGGTAGCAACTTGGGTGTGTATGTCCGAACTCACCCTTGAGCTGACGTGTGGCTTGCCGAATGATACAACATTGAGGGGAAACGGTCGGTTACTGAAGGCTACTACCGACCGGAGTGAAATAGTACACAACCTTGAATTGGTGAACTGCAACACGAAGATGGCTGGCATAAATCCTCTTCCATGAGAGCTTGATCCCCAGAACAACTTACGCGTTTTACGGAATCTGCGGAGTATCGAACGTGCGCATAAGTGGTTGTTGGAGGCATCGGTCGGCTTCCGGCAATCTCAACCGCCGACACTTCGGAAAAGCCGAAAGACGACGCCGCATTACGCCTGGCTCTCGGCGTACTTATGATAGCATTCACTCAACATTCTGTTCATGACCTGAAAACGTTAAGTAACATTATTAACAAGAAAGATGCTCAAACCACAGGCCAATTCAACCAGAGATATCGTTTCTTTGGACGGCATCTGGAACTTTGCAATTGCATCATCACCCGACATTGAAGCAGACGCACCATGGTCTAAGCTCATCCCGCCAAAGCTTCAAGTACCTGTACCCGCCAGCTACAACGACATCTTTGCAGATGAGAAGATTCGCAGTCACGTTGGATGGGTGTACTATCAGCGTCAAGTCACAGTACCTCGCGGCTGGTCGCCTGAGAATCAGAGATATTTCTTGCGATTTGACGCAGCAACCCATCGCGGCCGTGTCTACGTAAATGACAAGCTAGTCGCCGACCATGTTGGCGGATACACCCCTTTCGAGGCAGACATCACTAGCATCATCAAACCCGGCAAGAGATTCCGCTTGACTGTGGCCGTGAGTAACGAGCTGAGCTGGGAGACGATTCCTCCCGGCAAAATCCAGACCCTCGCCAACGGCAAGCGGAAGCAGAACTATCAGCATGATTTCTTCAACTATTCCGGGCTAGCACGGTCTGTGTATCTGTGTTCGAAGCCGGCGGTATCCATCATCGACATCACCGTCGTAACGGACATCTTTGAGTCGAGAGCAGGCAAAGTTCAATACAAGGTTGAGACTTCGCAGCCGGTGGAGGATGACAAAGTCAAGATCTCTGTTCTTGACGAGGAGGGGTTGACCGTGTCTCAGGCAAATGGGACAAAAGATGAGCTGACGATCAACTCGGCGCATCTGTGGCAACCCGGCGCGGCGTATCTGTACCAACTCCGTGTGGAGATACTATCGGACTCCGACAAAGATGAGGTTCTCGATACCTACGAACTTCCCTTCGGCATCCGCACAATCTCGGTCAAGGGAAATCAGTTCCTCATCAACGGCAAGCCCTTTTACTTCACCGGTTTCGGCAAGCATGAAGATTCGCCAATCCGCGGCAAGGGCTTCGATCCGGCCTACATGATTCACGATTTCCATCTCATGCGCTGGATGGGAGCCAACTCGTTCCGGACAGCTCACTACCCCTACGCCGAAGAGGTCCTCGACTACGCCGACCGACACGGAATCGTCGTCATCAACGAGACTCCGGCGGTGGGTATCAACCTCGGCATCATTGCTGGAGTCTTTGGGCTCAAGGCGCCTCCCACTTTTGCCCCCGATGCGTGCAACGAGAAGACGCAGGCGGCGCATGACCAGGCTATTAGAGAGCTTGTGGCGCGAGACAAGAACCATCCGTCGGTGGTGATGTGGACAGTTACCAACGAGCCTGCGTCGGCGGAGCCCGGTGCAAGGGAGTATCTCGAGCCGCTAGTCTCGTTGACGCGCGAGCTGGACCCCACGAGACCGGTCTGCTTCGCGAACATGGGGTTCGCTACGTTCGAGAAGGACCTCGTGACAGACTTGTTCGACGTCATCTGCCTGAACCGCTACTACGGATGGTACTCTCAGACAGGCGATCTAGAAGAGGCGGAGCAGGTATTGGAGAAGGACCTGCTTGGATGGCAGGCCAAGTATGGTAAGCCCATGATCATGACAGAGTACGGCGCCGAAGCTGTGGCGGGGCTACACGCCGTATGTGACGTCCCCTGGAGCGAGGAGTACCAAGGCAAGTTTCTCGAAATGTTCCACCGAGTATTTGACCGTGTTGAGACCGTTGTTGGAGAGCACGTTTGGAACTTTGCGGATTTCCAGACGACATCGAGTATCACTCGGGTGGATGGAAACAAGAAGGGCGTTTTCACACGGGACAGAAAGCCAAAGGGGTCTGCACAGGTTTTGAAAGCACGATGGACAGCTAAGCAAGCGAAAGATGTATGATCCGGTTTGCTGGAAGAATAAAGATACTCAGAAACTACTCAGATGCTCTCATAATGACTGGAAGAGTGTACGGGCAGCTAATATACCCGATGGTCCGTTCCAAGTCCGCTGCGGTGCTGCCTCCGTCGGCCCCACACGGAGCCGAGGTACAAACTCACGGCCGGGGGTGACTAACCGTTAATAGGGGCAGCCGAGGCACCCCGCATCTTATCCCAAGCCCAAGACTACAAGAACAGTTCAACTCAAGTTCATGAGAGGGCTGTAATTGACTGGTTTTACATTTCTACGCTGGCATTATTCCAATTGCAAAGCTCTACCGTGAACATGGCACGCCTTCCGTACCCCGATGTCAACGGAACTCCCCTCAACATCTCCAAGCTTCTCGCACATAGCCCAGCCACTGTCAACCATTGGTCAAAAATCGCAGGCGCTCACTTCAAAGATCTCGAGTTATCCTCCAAGAACCGGGAGTTAGTCATTCTTCTCAGCACAGCAAAGTTCCGGTCCACCTACGAGTGGACGCATCACAGCACAGTCTCGGCCAAGGAGGGTGTCACTGACGCCCAGCGCGAAGTGATTGCCCAGGCTGGAAGACAGAAGGGATACTTCTCTTCTCAAGGGAAACTAGAATCTCTTGCAGAATTGTTCACGTCAAAGGAAAAAGCCCTCCTATTGTTTATCGAGGCCGTTATTGACGGGCCAGAGGTTGCGGATGAGCTATGGACGAAAGCCAAGACTGAGTTTTCTGACCGAGAAGTCGTGGAAATGATTACTCTGCAGGTTAGTTTCCCTGTAGAAGTCCCTTAGTCTGAGTGCTAACGCAATCAGGGTTTCTACTACACCTTTTCACGCCTCACAACCGTCTTGAATGTAGAATTGGAGCCCTTCGCCAAGCCATCTAAGCTTTGAGAGAGGCGTCTCAGGGATCCCATTTTGGTCGTGATGGTGATTCGACGACATTGGGGAAGCACTGCGGGAGGACATGTATCCGTGCAACATCCGTCACAGAATGCTGATCGCGGCTTGGCGGTCTGTATGACCCAGTGAAGTCACTTGCTCTTCCTTGACAATGGCCTGTAAGCTGTATTCTGTAGTCTGTAGCAAAACAGCTGTATGTGGCCAGACATCAAGATCGATCTCACAGCGAACGAAATGTGGTTCAAATGTTTTTCTAATCTCTTTTATATTATTAGAGTGTACTAAAACGTACCGATACATCCCCAATAATTAGAAATGGCCAGCACTTGATCGGATCATCCGAGTCGGCACACAGCCCCTATTCGTCTCGTGGATCTTTCATGATCATCGACTCTTTCTCCTTCTTCCCAAATTCTCCTCAAAGTCTCATGGGATATTACACCCACAGTCTCTATCGCTGATTAAAGGCAATTATGCGGTGGAAGCGTTGAAGTCGAGGGCGGTAGATGCGTTGCCAGCCTCGGCCTCGTCCTGGGCAATGTTGTTGTTGAGCTTCTTCTGCTCGGCGGCCATCTTATCGGCGACGTCCTCGCCCTGGGCCGCCTGAGCCTGCAGCTTCAGCATGGTGGCGGTAAGCTTGAGGACCTTGTTCTTGATCTTGCCGCGCTGGAGGGCGTCGGCCTCCTCGCCGGTGGCAGCCTCAATGGCTGGGTTGAAGGCCTCCTTCTCGGCGTCGTTGGCAATGGAGTTGACGCTGTTGAGGAAGTCCAGATCGGCCTTAGCGACGGTACTGAGGTCGGTGGGGAGACCAGAGAGCTTGTCGAGAGCCTCCTGCTTGGCGGTACCGGCAGTGCCGCCGCTGATGGAGAGGTCATTGAAGGTCTGAGTGGAGAAGACGGTGGCCTGGCGAGCGCCGAGAGGAGCGGCGGTAGCGAGGGCAGCGAAGCCGATAGTGATGACGGAAGAGAACTTCATATTGAAAGTCGAAAGATTGTTCTTGAAGCAAGAAGTCGATGTTGTAGAAGACGAAAAGAGGGACACGGACCCGGATGGTTTGAAATGAGCGATCAAGATGCGTTGAAAGAGATAGAAGACAGCACAGCTGTTTTAGAAGAGAAGAAAGAACAGGCAAGGTTGTAATGATTGTGAGCGTGATGAGAAGAGGAAAGAAGAAGCGGCACTAAGTGGAAGATCGAGCTGATCTTTATAGAATATTTCAGACGATCTGTCAGTCCGTCCACATTAGGATATGGGTGATATTGGATCAATGCATTGGCATGTTTGCGTCTCCATGTTACGCCATCCTTTTTTCTCCCTTGTCGTCGTTCTCGTGATATGTGCTCTAGACATCGCCCCTGGGCTCGAGTGCCCAGCTGTCGCAGTTGCAAAGAACTTCAGACCAGGGCCCAAAGTAGGTTGCATGCGGAGGTCAACATGGGACGAGATGGGGCGTTCGAGACGGGGCGGGTTGAGACGTCAACGTTACGAAGATTCTTGGTGATTTTCCGCAGTGATGGATATGATGGATTGTGGAAGCGATGGCGACTCCGCGTTGAAGGAGGTCTGAAGTTCGTGACGCATGGGTGCGATGAAGCTGCCAAGATGTTGCGGCTGCATCTCCTAGGCCTGATCGGGAAGCCACATTACGGCCGGATCTGGTCAGAGGCGACAGGGAAGCCCCTGAATGGACGCCTCTCGTTACAACTTTGAGCCTCGTGAGTCGTGAGGCTCTATGAGGATGTTGAGGGGGGCGGATTGGAATTGGTGAAGGAGGCGAGGATCAGTATCATCGACGCAAGTGGGCACAGGGTTGGGGGGCTTGAAAGATGGGTCTGGAGCGATGCAGCTGTTCGTCATCCCAACCAAGCCGGAGCTGTCTACCGAACTTCAAGACCATACGGTAAGCATCTGAACATGTGAGCCAGGGTCCTGGATCTTTCCATGTCGCCTCTTCATCGGACTCTGCGGTAGCTCACAAAGAATAGAGATTGTGCCCATGACGGCGGCAAAGCTCCGAGGAATTTGACCCCACCACCATCCCCAAGGAGAGTTTCACGACCCCCTGTATCTTACCGCCAAGCTTATTTTTCTGACGTTGGAGGCCAATTTTCGAACGGCAGCAGCTTTGGCCGTGCCCACTTCTGTCGCGGTCCTCCTTTGACAACTTACTCTCTCAACCGAGGAAGACCGTTTGAAGGCGAACGTTGAGCATGAGGTTTGGGCAAAGTTGAATATGGGTCTTGACGCTCATCAACCAGGCTAAGATTCTGCTGGATGATCCCCTGGTGATCCCAAACACCGCGACCAAAAAAGGGTCTTGGAGTTCGATTGGGTCCCTGGTGGACTCGTCTTCATCCGAGGCTCTACCCATCGGATCTCGAACTCATCCCATCTCTTCACCCGTGTCGCAAAACTTCTTTTGACGTCGGGAATGATGGTATGTCAAGTGTCACTGGCATGACTCTCAGCTCACAAGTCAAGCGGCCTGTGGTTATTGCATGAAGTCTGATTCCATTGATTGGACGGAAACGAACTCTACCGAAGGTTTTCGGTCATACTCGATAGTTGAAGGACTAAGTTGCCTGCTCAACTGCTCTCACCTTGCATCTTAATGTTGGGCACTGAGATCGTACGCACCAGCTCTTCGCGAGGGTTCGCTGCAGACTAACCTTAACAACATATCCCCCCACGCCCGCTGTGAAAAACAAAGCAAATGCGCTAGACACTGACCCTCGTCAGCGCTGCTGGGCCCATTGGGCCTGAAACCGCTTCATCGCCCCCAGTCTCCCAATGTCACCCACTCAAGTTTAAGCGCTGCGGGGATGGGTGACAGACGTATTTTTGGATCCATTTCCGGATTGGCATATGTGTCTCATTATTGTTTGATTCTTGAAAATTCTGGGCATGTTTGGATGTTGCGGTCAATTTGCAAGAGGCGAACGTCTGCCGTATTCGTTTCCATGTCAACCATGCCAATAATGGGCAGGTAATGGTCTACCTAACCTTGGTCGCTGAGAGATGCTCGGTGTAATAACTTCAGGGATGGAAGGCAACATAACAAGACGAAGCGACCTGATCAACCTTCGTTTGACAGGCCGCCTGTGGATGAAAATTGTTCAGGACAATTAATCCATCATTAGAATCGTCTCGATATTTTTGCGATGGCCGACCTCCGGCTGAGTACTCATTGTTAGACTCTCAATAGCCTTCCGCAGAGATGTGTGAGGCGCGAAGTCTCTTGTCATATTTGCATATGGATCCACATGGTGTCAACGTAAAGACCTCTACCTGAGGCAGACTGCATCAAGCCCGCAGACGGATGTCGTTATGGCTGAAGCCAATTTGGCGATTCAACTTTAATGTTTCTGACCGCGTCGTGAGTAACTATCGACGATGGAGATGGAGGATCGTGAATCGGCAGGTACCGACTATGTCTTGGCGATGCTGGGCGCGCTCCTTCTGGCAGCCTGGTTTCTCCCATTGGATGCCTCGAATCGTCTTGGCCAAGGTCTGAAATACACGACAGGCATATCGGGAGCACCCGTTCAGCATGCGATTCTATGCAGAATCATACTGACTAATGCAGCCAAGCCACGGCAGGCTGAAGGGGCAGGACTCGCTTGAAAGCAAGGTCTTTGGCGTTGGTATTGTGCGTTGGACTGACCACAGTCACATATAAGCTAAGAATTATGATTGCGAGATAGACTCGCTCAATTATCGATAAGTAAATTACTTCGTAAAACAGAGCATTACGGTGATGATGCTGTAGGCACGCGGACTTTCTCGCCGGAGAAGGCCGAGAGCCGGACGCGATGGAATGGCCCCAACACCGGGCCGGGGCCGGAGTGGGGTTTACCAAGTCGGCCCCCAAGATAATTCAGAAAACGCAGTGTGAGGGATGTAGAACGAGGCGACTTGAATGAGATGAAAAATAATGAATAAGTCGAAATCTTTAACGAATAGAGACGGGCGCAGATTTCTAGAAGGAGAAATAGCAATATCTAAAACTTATCAGAACTTCGAAATGAGAGACACCATGTATTTTTATCCTTCTGAAGCATGAATTGCTAGATGACGGCGAGTTTCTCTCGGCTCCTCCAAAGGGTCAAAACACTACGCTGACGCATTCGCCCGGGCGAATCTCCAGGGACTCTTCAGTGAGAAGAGCTGCCAATGAGGGCCATTCCAGCAATAAGGCATTTGCCCTCGAACTAGATCCAGGCGCACCAACCATGGAGCGGTATATCTCCAAGCCTGGAGCTACTGCAACGCCCGCTCCTCAAGCCACCATTTGGCCCTAGTTACGCCACTTCTTGCCGGAGGACCGAGATCTCACGCTTTCCCCGCTTGGTTGTCAGTAGGCGTACGATGACGGCAAAGACCGCATAATTAGTCTAGTCTCGGACTCTCAGTCGACGACAACTACATGCAAACCCAAGTAACAACACAGTACCACTCCAATGAGCGCCATTCCCGAACAAGCGCCGCAAGACGGGCATCCGGCGCAATCTCCAGAGCAAGCACCAGATATTATTGAAGCTGGTGGCGATGCGAGCGACGATGAGTTCCAGCCTAGCGAGTGGGACGCTTCCTCATCGGGTTGGACCTCCATCACCTCGTCGGTCTTAAAAACATTCATATGAAAATGGCAGACGGTAAGTTTTGAATGCGAACCCATGGAACTTGGGTTCAATAGATGCATTTGGTCAAAGGCTTATCAGCTTGGACAATCAAAGCTATCACTCATTTCGGGATGGAAAATATCCAATTCCAAACGATGATGTTGAAAAAAACGCGAAGAAACGAAGCATGCGATGGTCATGGAGCTCACTGATGGCAAGCTATTCCATGCTCCTATAGGCGACTCGCCCAGCAAGATTATTGATCTCGGCACGGGCACCGGTAAGTTTTATCTCAGACCTTGGGCGGACTTGAAGGCGGCATCCGTAGATATCGCACAGAAATTCTGAACGACTTTACAGGCATATGGGCAATGGAAGGTAGATAACACTCATCCTGAAGACAATGATCAATAAAGCCTGAAGATTGACAATCACCAGTTGGGGGTCACTACCCTTCCGCCGAGGTTACTGGCGTAGACTTATCGCCGATTCAGCCAAGATGGTACGCCCACTGAGTCCTCTTATGGCCATAATATCCTGATTTAGCGTACAGGGTGCCTTCCAACGTTCGCTTCTTCGTCGATGATGTTGAAGATGACTGGCTGGTAAGTGCTCTACTGCCTGGCGAAATGAGATCTCTAAACTGGAGGGTGTTGTCGCTGACAATGAGCGATATTCCTTAGCCTGTAAATAATTTCGATCTCATATATATGCGAAACTTGGCATCTCTGTGCATGATCTCCCAAAATCTTGGAGCGAGTCTTCGAGTAAGTTCGAAGTTGTGCCTCCACCCTCGACAATGGGGTATCAAATCCAGTGCAGCATCGTGCTCATGAAACACACTTTCTGAAATCTCAAGGCTGAAGCTTACGTCGGAACCCAAGTCTTCGGCGCCAATGTGAAGAGCGATGCCAGAACCATGCCCGATAACTGGCCTTTGTTGGAATCCTGGTCCAAAATCCGCGACGTCATGCACAAAATGAAGATTGACATCCAAATCGCTCCGCGCATCGGTGCGATTTTGAAAGACGCCGGCTTCGTCAACGTTCAAGTGAGATCATACAAAGTGCCGGTTGGAACATGGCCTCTCGGCAAGATCAAGCGTCTGGTTGGACATTGCATGCGCTCTGTGACGGAGGAATTTCTGGGCGCCGCTGCGAGCAAACCTTTGGCGGCTCTGGGAATGGAACGGACGGAGATCGAGGTATTTCTCGCGTCAGTTCGGAATGCGATCAAGGATCTGAATGTGCATGCGTATGGCACGTATTATTCTCGGGTTGGACAGAAGCCCGTGGAGTTGGGTTCTAAGTGAACAGGAAGCTCGCTTCTACACTGAGGGTTATCTTGAATCTAGATTCGCATGGAGAATGGGGCAACACTGGTTCCCTAGCATTGGAAGAACATGGAATTACAAATACCCACACCGTCGATCGAATTCATCATCCGTGTTCACAGCAATCCTAAAAGGTTCTAGACCACCTGCGAGGCGCCTCGGCCACATCGGTCAGTGAGCTATCGACAGGTCTCATGCAACCAAAAAAGCTGCCCACGTAGATGGACATCTAAATGAAAGGGACGAGACTCGAACTCGCGCGGGTTGCCCCACCAGGAAACAGATGTTAAGCTGACCTTAACCTGGCGCCATAACCAACTCGGCCACCCTTCCGTGATGTAGATCCTCGGAGACCCGAGAACCTGGAAGTGGATGCTCGATTTCCGGCACCGCAATTGTTAAGATTGCAGGTAGAAGAGTGCACGTGCTAGTGTGGACATGATCACGAGCCGAACTCGCTTCACAAGTTCACGATGTTTTGAGTTGTGGGCTGTGGGTTGTGGATATATCGACGCTAAGAACCCTGGCAGCGATAATTTCTTGCGGGCCCCAGGAACTCAAAGATACTCACGTTAGCGCGAAGACTGGAGAACAACAAAATTGGCCAGACGGTCCCAGACCCGGGGAACCGATGTCTTTTCGGTATCGTGGAGGCAGCCGAAATATCAACAAAATCTTTTTCATCGGGTCAACCCCATATCTGGAATATGTCTAACCTAGGTAGCGTGCATCCCCACGATCCAACCCCACCAGTCACAGCATCGTTTAGTTTACGCGACGTTCAAACCTAAAGCTGATGTGAGCTAACGTACGGATACATTGGCTCTTTGGAATACCCTGGTGAAAGACTGACAACGTGGTCTCTGCACGAAGTATGCCGTCCTGCAGGACAATTGGTGCACCGTGACCAGCACTGCGGATCTCGGCATCTCACATGACACCTCACGGAGAAAAATATGCCAATCAAGAGGGCATGTAATATCTGTCTGACATATGCTGTCGTGAACTAGAAGAGGGGTAGAGCGCTGTTACACAGATTGCAGGAAAAACCTCGTCACGGGACCATTCAGGTGTATGTGAATAGCCATCTTCTTTTTCGGGCAAATGCAAGATCAAACATACGCGTAACAACTGCACGTGATTTCACTGTGCTTCAAAGCCTTGAGCTCCATCATGATCGGCTGAGATCCCGCATCGAAAGCTGGTAGTTCCCCACATTGCTCACCCTAATACTCTTGTCAGAATCAATGTCTTCAGACATCGTCCTTGAGCCTGTACACAGTACATCGTTCCCAACCTAGATCTAATAGTGGCGGCTATTTCGACACAAGTGCAAGAGATTCCAATCGTTTTGATGATCAGCGCGAACCAAAGTGTTGGGTCGAGCCATCCTCGACTCATTTTCTAGGAGCCGTCCAGCCAAATTATCGCCGCTGTCTGTAAACGGGCGCGTCCTGCAACCGAGCCAATTCCAGACCTTTGTAGAGTTCCCAACAAGAAGTTTATCAACATGAAGCTGAAATCACCGTGGTTTAGCGCGACCATGGCATGACATCCATCGACGCCGTGATCATCCCCGGTGCCACGTTGCTGGTATCGCCCGAAAGGGCACGATTGTCCGTAAGGCGATATCCGCAAACGCGTTCCAGCCTCTCTACTTGGATTTCCATTGGCCCCTTGACTGTTGGAAAATTGGTAATATCGCCAAGTTGGGTGACACCTTGGCCATCATTGGCTCGGTTGACACCAACGTGAAGTAACCCTTGCCGGTTTCCCGGGAACCTCGAGCGCGCAAGGCGCCTCAGCTCGAAGTCCGGGCGGCTTCCAAATGTCAGGCTGGTTCGTCCGCCTCGTGTCTTTTGAGAAAACCTGATTAAGCTATTGGGTCTTTGTCTTTGCCCCGGACCCGTGGAGACGGATCTCGCAGCTGGGTGGAACGGGTGTGCATTTTGACTGCATTGGACGCTAATTTCGCGGAGAACTAGCGCTTGGTTGCTGACATGGACCATGGTTAGAGACCACGTTGACACATTCAGCTGTAGAAGCGAAGGGAAATCACTGGGGAATATTGAAGAGAGAGGACCGGGTCTGCGGTTCGTTGTCCATTTGCATCTGCAGCGGCTACAAATCAGCTTGAATGTTCGGTGGGAAGCGGCCCAGTGTTGACCGAGATACCGAAGAGGGGGGCGGCTGAACCCGTATTTCGCGACGCGATGCGGCGGCGTTCCTACAGGCGGCTACGCCTTTCCCCATCTCGGCGGTCCAACGGGTGTGCTACGACGCGCCCTAATGAGAGCCGATGATGGAGGGTGGAAGACGTCGAGAAACTACTTAGTTTAACAACTCGCCGTTTCAGTAAGTGGCCGCCGCGGTCACATGGGGGAGCTAAGGAGCCGCGTCCATCCAAGCAGCCAAGCAAGTTAAGCAACGCGGCGTACTGGGGAAGTCAGGAAACTAACCCCAAGAGCGAAAAGAGCCCCGAGTTTATGACAAGGCCCCCGTTGGTGAAAGGGCCGATGGGATAAGTTTGCCGGACCCTGACTAGTGTCCCTAACTGGTCCAACTGCGCCGTTTCTCCAAAAACCTTGAGCAACCTCCCACCCCCATTGGAGCGCGTCGGCGCATAGGAGAATATCTGACCGGGCTCGGTTCATCATCAGCCGATATTCGATCCCCCCAGAGTGTCACCCGCCCTTCTTCCCCATTCCCCAGGCTCATGTGGGAACGGGTCTATGGACCAATGCGGGGGGCGGGGTTGAGGACGTTTGGGGAACCCCAATATGCCCAGATTGCGCTTGTGAGGATTCCTTGTGGGATTCAGATCCCCGTCCACCTTTTTTCATACGTTCGCGTTGGTTCAAGTTGCGCTAGCGTAATGACACCCGACTGGGGTTAACTCTCAAGACAATGTTCCATTGGGCATGTAAGAAAACGAGAACTGGGGAGTAAGACAAGACCTTTATTAAACAGCCTGCCCAGTACCACCCTCTCTCTCTTGGCTTTCGTCTCTTCTCTGTTCTTGCTTGCTCGCGTTCCCCCGTCCCCCTCCTCCTCCTCATCAAGCAACCCGGCCAAACAACCTCCAACTCCAAATTCTCGGTGAGGTTTCCAAAGAGAGTCTGCAAACATGAGCACCACACTCGACTCCAAGTCCGACCCGGCAAAGGTCGAGGCCTACGGCGAAATTGACCATGTCGCCGACCTCGACGAGAAGGCGTTGCCCGCCTCCTACAAGGCCGATGCCATCGAGGCTGAGCAGGCCGAGCACAACATGGGAGTCTTGGAGGCCGTCAAGGCCTACCCCATGGCCTCCCTCTGGGCTTTCATCATGTCTACCACAATTGTAAGTCGCTCCAACTACCTTGGCATATTGCACGCATACGAGGCAACTGGTAACTAATCACATTGGTTTCCCAGATTATGGAGTCCTACTGCGTCTTCCTGATGGGTGCTTTCGTCGCCATGGACGAGTTCAAGGACGCATATGGTGTCGACACGAGCGAGGGCAAGGCGATCGAGGCGTCATGGCAATCCGCCCTTCAGATGGGTGGTCCTCTCGGCGCCATCATCGGTGTCTGCATCGCCGGTCCCATCACCAGTCGCATCGGATACCGCTGGGCTACCATCTCTGGCCTCATGCTCCTCAACGCCTTCATCTTCGTCTTCTACTTCGCCAACTCGCTCGCCGTCATGTTCGTCAGCCAACTTCTCGAGGGTATTCCCTGGGGTATCTTCATCGCCAACGCCCCCGCATACTGCTCTGAGATCGTGCCCATGCGCCTGAGAGCTCCCGCCACACAGATGCTTCAGATGTTCTGGGCTATTGGTGCCATCATCGTCGGTGGTGTCTGCTATGTCTACGAGAGCAAGAGAGACCCCAGCGCGTACAGAGTCCCGATTGCCCTCCAGTGGATGTTCCCCACGCCCCTTGCCATCCTTCTGTTCCTCGCTCCCGAGTCTCCTTGGTGGTTGGTTCGTAAGGGACGTCTTGAGGAGGCTGCTGTCTCGGTCCGTCGTCTTGGTCGTTCATCTGCCGTTGCCAACACTGAGGAGTCCGTCGCCATGATGCGTCGTACCATTGAGCTTGAGAAGGACGTCAAGGATCCCAGCTACATTGAGCTTTTCAAGGGCACCGATAGATACCGCACCCTCATTGTCTGTGGTGTCTACGCCGCCCAGAACCTTACTGGTAACCTCATCGCCAACCAGGCTGTTTACTTCTTCAGACGTAAGTTTTCATAACCTCTCTCCTTCTCAAGGCGTATGGAGGCTAACACACAAGCAGAGGCCGGTATTGGCTCCCAGCTTGCCTTCGCCCTCGGTCTCATCACCTCCGCTCTCCAGACCGTCTTCGTCATGCTTTCCTGGGTTCTCACAACCTACCTCGGCCGCCGCACCATCTACGTCTGGGGTTCGCTCATCAACGTTGTCTTCCTCATTGCCCTCGGTATTGCTGGCTCCGTCGGCAAGTCCACTGCCGCCTCCTTGGCGATGGCCTCTTTGGGTCTTATTGTCTCCGTCGGTTTCACTCTTGGACCCGCCCCCGCCTCGTGGGTCATCATCGCCGAGACATCCTCCATTCGCCTTCGTCCTTTGACCACTGGAATCGGCCGTGCCGCTTACTACGTCGTCAACATTCCCTGCATCTTCCTCGCCACCTACATGCTTAACCCCACCGTAAGTCCCCCCCCCCCCCCCCCCCCCCCCCCCCCCCCTCCTCCCCCTCCTCCCCTCCCCCCGCCCCCCCCTCCCCCCCCCCCCCCCACCCCCCCCCCCTCCCCCCCCCCCTCCTCTTCCCCCCCCCCCCACCCCCCCCCCCCCCCCCTTCTCTCTCTCTCTCTCTCTCTCTCTCTCTCTCACACACACACACACACACACATTTCGTAAGGAGAATTACATTTACTCACACACGCAATAGGGTGTCAACTTGGGCGGCAAGTGCGGTTACGTCTGGGGCGCCACTGGTTTCGTCTGCTTCG